AGCAAGCACGCGAGCGAGCGAGTCGGACGAATCGGGTCGGGCGGGCGGGACATTAAAATGCATGGTGTTCGCGTGCTCTCTCGCTCGCTCGAGCGAACGAGCGAGCGAAGAAGGGGGTCGGTCCCCTTGCTCGCTCGCTCACTCGAGCCAGCGAGCGAGCAAGAGGCCTGGGGTTCATCATGGTCTTCCTGGGGCTCGATCAAGCTCTCATAGAATCTTACCAAGGATCGATCAAGCCTTGATCACAAACCACTGAGAAGGATCGATCGTCGTCGTCGTCGACGTCGTCGTCGGCGTCGTCGTCGTCGTCGTCGCTGCCCGCCGGCGCCCGCGCCGGCGCCTGCGCTCGCCGTCGTCAATTGCAGGGGAGGGGGGCCGTTCGAACCTCCACCCCCCTGGCAATTCAGGGAGGGGGGGGGCCCGGTTCGAAACCCACGCCCCTCTGAAGAGAGGGGGGGGGGCCCAGGTTCGAAGAGCCCCCCAGGTTCGAGCCCCCCGCCCCTCCCTGCAATTGAGATCGAGGAGGGGGGGGGGGAGGCCGGTTCGAACAACCCTTCCTCCCTTGAGGGGGGGGGGCCCCCCCTCCCCCCCTCGGCTCGAACCCCCACCCATTGTCTCTGCACGGCAGGGGGGGCCAACCCCCTGTTCGACCCCCCCCCCCCTCACAAGCGTCCACGGAGCCAGGCGTCCACGGAACGCGCCCTTTCAGACATAGGGAGGGCGGGGGAAGAGGAGGGGACGCCTTGTGGGGACGCCTACAGTCGGGGCGTTGACCTAAGGAACCCTAAAGAAGGAACGAGGCCCCTATTTTCCATAAGTTAAACTTCGATTTCATATCGGAAACCTAAGGAAAACCTAAGGCAAACTGCGAAACAATTAAGGAGCACGGAGCCCCTCCCCGATGAAAAGGGTTCCTTCTTCAGCGCCCCGACTGTACGGATCGCGGCAAAAGAAAAACTCTGGAAAATCAAATGTCCCTACAATCGACCGCAAATGTTGTCTACTGGTCGGGTCGTTGCTGCCGGTATCAGTGTGCAAACGTTCCAGCGCCAGTAGGGAGTCCGGCTGTGCCAATCCCCGCGTTGGAGGCAAGCGCCCGCGTGGCGGGGATGCTCGCAAAGCTTGCGGAGCTCTGCACGGGCACGGCGGACGCCCCGGGCACCCCTCCAGCATGCGCCGGGGCCCGCCCGGTGACTGCAGCATGCCCGCGGCCAGATGCGGTAGGCAGCCCAGCGCTCCTTATGAGCAGCAGGACGCAGGCCTCGTTGACGACGTCGTCTCCGGGGCCCTCCGCCTCAGGGAAGGCGCAGTTGGCGTGGTCCCAGTCCTGCTCGAACTTTACTCGGATGGACGCTGCTGGAAGATCGGCATCCCAAGACACGGTGATGCCATCAGTCGTGACGTTGTACTCCTGCCTGCAATATTCAGCTAAATGGGACAGCGGAGAATTCGTTCGGTGCGTGCCAGAGGAGAAGGTCAAGATGGGGAGCTCTGCTGGGAATGGGAAATCCGCCTGTCCCTTTGGGAGCCAACACTGAGCCAGTGGAGAAGCCGGATTCTGCGCTGGAGGGGAACGTCAATAGGGAGGTCTGCCAGGATTGAGACGCCTGTGCCGTCCACGGCAAGAAACGCTGCAGCAGACGTATACTGGCGGATTGCTGCTGGTCGCGGCTGCCTGCCACTCCTCGCTGCCGTGGGCCGCTGCTTGCTGCTGCCTCCTGCAGCGTGCTGACGCCTGCTGCCGCCTGCCACTGCTCGCCGCTCGCCGCTCGCCGCTCGCCCCTTCTGGGGAAGCCAAAAGGTACCGATGCCGCCTGCTCCCCGGAGCTCTCCTGGGGCGCGTTCCGACCAGAACCTCGAGGCGAACCCAACGGTGGCGACGAGGGCCTCCGAGGCACAAAAAGGCGGGAAAACGGGCGAAGGGTAGAAGTATGGGTACCTTTTCCTCCTCTGACCTGCCGCAGCGTTTCTGGCGCTATTGGGAGTTAGTCGAGGAAAGGAGGCCGGAGGTCAGCTCCCAGCTGGTGTCCGCGATCCCCTCCTTTTGCGCGTGCGCCCCTGGTTTTGGCCGTTGGCCACTCTGGCCGTTGGCCAGGGCACGTTGGCCCGCGCTTTGCTGAGCGCCACGGTTTTGTTCTGCCTCTTGCGCCTGCCGCCCCCCGTGCTGCCCCCCGGCCTGCCGCCTCCACCGCCGCTCGCCTGCCGCCGCCTGCCGCCACGCGCTGCGGAGGGGGGCGGGCGGAAGCCCGGAGGCCCAGAGGCTCGGTCAGCTCCTGGAGAGGGGGCCACGTGTGAACCCTACCCCTGCCCCCCACGATTTCCGAGGGGGAGGGTGGGGGTTCACTTCCTTCGGGAGCTCCCGAGCGAAGCGAACCCCACCCTCCCCCTCAGAAACCGTGGGGGGTAGGGGTAGGGTTCGCATGTGGCCCCCTACTGGATCCGCCGCTCGTAGGTCAGCTCCTCCAGGATGCGGCCCTGGCCGTCCAGGACGTGCCGCATGTACCTCTCCGGGAATCCCGTCAGCTCGGTCTCCACGAGGTCGTCCGCAATCGGGGTGCCGCCCAGAGGAGCCTGCAGCGTCACGACGCCCGCAACCTTCTCTCGCAGGTTGTCCCAGTGGCGACTGACAGCACCGACTGCGTCGCAACCACCCTTGCTGTGGCCAATCAGAATGACTTGCTTGTGCGTGAGTCGATGGAGCTGGCCTACAAGCTCGGCAATCTTGCTGGCGTTGCCCACCACACTGTCCGAGGCAACGATGTCGGCCACGCGACAGTCCAAGCCGAGGCTTCTGAAATGTGTCTTGGTCCGCTCGAAATACCCGTCTCTGTAGGTGCACGAGTAGATGCCAGGAATGATGAGGTAGACAAATCCCACCGGCCCTCTGTCGGCGGCTCGCAGAGGGCGGCAGAGGGGAAGGGGGAAGAAGGCTTCCTGGAGGGAGGCTGCCTCTGAGACGGCGCCAGCCCCAGATCTACAGAGAAGGCCCGCGCCTTCTAAGGAGCAGGAGTGCGTCTGAGAAGCCTTCCCCCCCTCCCCCACACCCACCTCTGCGCGAGGCCAACGCTGGGCGTCGGTGCTGTGGGGAGCCCGTTCTTCCAGCCCCCGTCCTTCGCTTTCGAGGAGGGCCTTCGAGTGCTGCGAAGCAGCCTTATCCCCTCCCCCTGCCCCCTCTGCGCGTGGCCAACTCTGGGCGTCGGTGGTGTGGGGAGCTCGCTCTTTCAGCCCACCTTCTTCGCATTCGCGGAGTGTAACAACCAGGTCGGACATGTCCTCCTACAGGCGATTCTTAAAGGAAAAATGCAAAACAGCCCCAAACATTCGAACATGATCAGTACTCCAAAAGTCGCCCCAAAACTATGTTCGACAATTCTGGAATACTCCTCCTGTAGAGGGACAGGCCCGACTTAAGTTTACCCCTCACGCCTGCTCCGGCCCTTGGTTTGGGTGACCTAAAACGGGGTCCAGCTGAAAGAGGGTGGTGCAATAGCTTTGGGGCAATTGTATTGCAAATGTATTGCGCGAGAGAATTAGATTGGATTGTATTGCAAATAATGTTTTGCACGCGAACATACAGCAATACGTCTGCGCCCCGAATGTATTGCACGCCCCAAATAGTGTTGTTATTGCACAACCTCCTTGTCGCTGGACCCCCTTTGGGGTCAACTCGACTTGGGCCTGGGCCCCTCGATTTGGAATCCCGAAACAATACGGTGACAGACCGTGCGGTGACCTCGGAACCCCAGGAGACCTCACCGCACGGTCCGTCACGGCACGGTCTTGGGACCCTGGAGGCCCCTGTCGCCGGAGACATCCTCGGAGAGGAACTCGAGTCCCAAAACCGTGCGGCGACCCCGAATCCCCACTGACTCACCGCACGGTGTGTTCACCACACCGTTTGGGGGCCCCCGACACGAGGTGTAGGAGGGGGTCCTCTCCGGCCCGAGCGGGACATCCTGGCGGCGCGCACAGCGCGGAAGCTGCGGCCAGGGCTGGCAAATCCGTGGCTGCTAACACGGTGTTCCCAGAAGAAAAAAAACAATTTCCCGGAATAAAACTCACCGCACCAAGTAGTGGGCTGCTTTCCGGAGAAACAGAAAATCCCGGATCTCCGTTTTAGCAGCCACGGATTTGCCAGCCATCGCCTGGCTTCTGAACAGAGGGGTTAGGGGTAGGTGGGGAAGGCTTCTTAGGAGGAGGCCGGCTCTTTGAAGGCGCCAGCCCTGCATCTGTAGATGAGGCCCGCGCCTTCTGAGAGCCAGCCTCCTTCTGAGAAGCCTTCCCCCCTCCCCCGACTCCCTGCTGCGCGTGCCCGACCAATCGAGAGATTAAAAACAATACTTGCCCTTTGTTTGGTGCAATTTCACTGGCTGTTACCTCCGGTGGAACGGCGCAAGGTGTAAAGCCCCCCCTTGGGGGATCCATCGGACTGTCCGTCGGGCTGACTCGCAGGGGTCTCTCGCATCGTACTCCAACATCCCCTTGCTGTTTACCACCTCGCCACCTTTCTTTGCCCACCTCCTGCGATGGCCTGTACGAGCTCTCGAGCGCCAGGGAGACCAGTTCTACGAAGGCTTGAGTGCGATATTCTGAAGGGGCCCTGGGACACAGAAACAAATACACACAAATACAAGGATTCCCCATATTTTCCAATGTTTTCTGGGTTTTTGTCTTCCCCCCACTTCCCATACTCTCCCATATTTTCTGGGGAATCGACGATTAATTGTGTCTGTGTGTGTTTTGTCCCCAACGCTGATCAGCTCACTCCACGAGACTGATGATCGACTCCATCGGCTCCCCACCCCGACCAGATTCTTTCGCCCGCAGTTCGAGTTCCCAACACTGAAGGGGCCCTGGGACACACAAATAAACAATTACACACAAATAAAAATATTCCCCATATTTCCCCATATTTTCTGGGTGTTTGCCTTCCCCCCACTTCCCGTATTTTCCTATATTTTCTGGGGAATCGAAGATTAATTGTGTCTGTATGTTTTTTCCCTCCTGAAACACGCCCCCTGATGCACGCAATGGAGCGCACCGGCACCAACACGACAACAATCCCAAATACGTCAGATCTCCGCCATCACCCGCCAGGAGATCAGGCCGATCCGCGCCACCATCGTAACCTTCGACCGGCGCCTCACAGAGATGAACGGGAAGGGCAACGGCAAGCTCGGCGACGTGGAGCAAAAGGAGGACATCAACATTCGCCGAACGAGATTGGAAAGCACGATTGGGAGATGCAGGCACGCCGGCCAAGCCAAAGCAATGCAAACGGAGGTCGAGCAGCTGAAGTGCATCACACACGAGAAGGAGGACACGATGGTGATTCGAGGCCTTCAGTCTTTCCAGGGCCAAGGAGACTCAGAATCGTTGGAATCCACCCACGACGGTCCCAAGAGAGGCCAAGAAACGCCTGGGGGGGCTTCCAACAGAGCCCCAAGAGAGCTCCAAGACGGCTCCAAGAGAGCTCCAAGAGGCTCCCAAAGGTCTCTGCGTTCACCGTTGTTGGCAGCCTTGTTTTACTATATGCGTACCTACGCCCCTCATCTCGACAACTCCCTACGTATGGTCTTCGTTTAGGGACGGGCTGGGACACGCAAAGCGCAAAGAATTGCCAGTGAACCTCGATCAAGTGGTTGTTGCCCATGACAGAGGAAGAACAAACTGCATGAATATCTTTCGCAGGTCCGCGCGGATTTCCTGGATCGGCGCTGGACCCCCCTCCAAACCGCGCGGAGCGCGCCAAGGGCGACGCCGGAGGCGCCGCCAAGGGGGTACCAGCGCCAGTCCAAAAAGTTCGTGCAGAACTCCAAAAAGGTATGTCTATGCTGTTCTTTCGACTTCGCAATGACCTCGTGGAGCACATCGTGGAACTCGCTCGATCTGTCCAGCGCCCGGTTCTCGAAGCGCCTCTGCCGGACCCAGCCGACGTGCGGCCGCTTCCCGGGCTCCAGGATGTCGTCCGGCCCGTGGAAGATGCTCGTCGGCTCTGCGTCCTCCCGCTGGCAACACCAATCTCTGGACAGAAAGTTCTGGCAATCTTCCCTGGTTCTCGGAGGTTTTCGCGCCTCGGGCTGCTTGCTCGCAGCTGCGCCTCGCCGAGAGCGTCCTGGGGCTGCCCACATCGTCCTGGTCGGCCACTGGAGACGCGAGCTACGACCCGAAAACCAAATCTCCGAATCTCCGACGACCTGATTTTCTCAACCGGCGTTTTGCCCTCGGTTTCAGCCCGGGGGGGGACACTGGGGCAAAACACTACCCTGGCGAAAGGCCCAGCCATATGCAACTGTGAATACCGCAAGGCAAGTTGGACGAAGGAGGGGGAGCTCCTTATGGGGCCACGAGACGCGTGAGGGTCTGCTCACATGGCCGGGGGGGCGAATGTGGACACCGCCGCCAAGGCCTCCGGTGGAGGTCCCTAGGGACAGGTCACGAAACGCTGCACTGGGTGGCGCGGACGCACGTGGTCGCGAAAGCACGGAGCGCAAGGAACCAGGAACCGGGAACGGGAAAGCTGGAACGGTCCTTCGAGGGTAAGCTCACTAACCAGGCACAGAGGACCAAATACTCTTGGCCTGGTCTGAGCTTCTGGACCGCTGTCAGCAGAAGCCAGCGTGGGTCAAGGGCAAAGCAGTCCTCCACTTCCTCCCTTGATTCGTCCTTTCCTCCTCCTCCTCCTGCTGCTCCTCCTCCCCCTCACCATCCTCCTCCTCCTCCTCTTCCTCCTCCTCCTCCCGCTCATTATCATCATCATCATCATCATCATCATCATCATCATCATCAGCAGCAGCAGCAGCAGCAGCAGCATCATCATCACCATCATCACCATCATCAGCATCATCATCACCATCACCATCACCATCACCATCACCGTCATCATCATCATCATCATCATACCACCATCATCATCATCATCAGCATCATCATCAGTATTATCATCCTCCGCATCATCATCAGCATCATAATCTGCATCAGCATCAGCATCACCATTATCATCATCACCATCAGCAGCATAGTTATCATCATCGTCAGCAACAACAGCATAATCATCGTCATCGTCATCATCATCATAATCATCACCATCATCAGCATCATCAGCATCATCACCACCACCATCACCATCATCATCATCATCATTACCAGCGTCAGCAACATCATTATCACCATCTGCAGCAGCATCACCGTCACCATCACCATCACTATCACCATCATCATCGTCAGTATGAGCATCAGCCTCATCCTCATCATCATCAGCATCACCAACACCACGATCATCATCATCGTCGGCATCATCGTCATCGGCATCGGCATCGGAATCGTTACCATCATCACCATCGTCATCATCATCATCACCATCGTCATCGTCATCATCATCATCATCATCAGCATCATCAATATCATCATCATCGTCATCATCGTCATCGTCATCATTATTTCCATGATCAGCAGCATCACCATCGTCATCATCATCGTCATCATCAGCGTCAGCAACATCATTATCACCATCTGCAACAGCATCACCATCACCATCACCATCACCATCACCATCACCATCACCATCACCATCACAACAACCATCGTTGTCATCAACAGCGTCATCATCGTCATCATAATGGTCATCATCATCACCAGCAGCATCATCATCACCACAACCATTATCAGAATCATCACCAGCACCCCTGTCATCATCAGCCCAGTCATAACCATCAGCATCACCCCAGTCAGGATCATCAGCAGCATCATCATATCCAGCATCATCACAATCATCACCAGCACAATCACCACCACCATCAGTATCGCCATCATCATTCTCACCATCCGTATCATCACCAACAACATCATCATCACCATCATCATAAGCATCATCGTCAATAGAAGCCCACTCATTATCATCAGCAGCAGCAGTAGCATCAGCACAACCATCATCATCACCATCACCATCACCAGCATCATGGTAAACATCATCGTCACCTGCCACATCCTCATTATCACTCTCATCCGCCTCATCGTAATCAACAACGTCATCATCATCAACATCAACATCCTCATCCTCATCCCCGTCCTCACCATTCGTCCTCCTTCCGTCATCCTCCATCCTCCCTCCTGCTCCCTCGACCCTGCGCTCCGCTTCGACGCAGCGCGCAACTCGCTGGAATATGCCCACATGGATTGCGCAGACAAGTGATTCATGCAGCGGCAAGATGATCAATCGGATACCTCGAAACGTCGTATCCAAAGGTTGCAGCAGCTCAAGGACGAGAGAGAGATAACAACACAAATAATACCAAAAACAAGAAAAACGATCGAGCTTCTTGCGGAGATGGCGAAAGGCATCGTCCCGGCGGTCACGCAATAGCGTCGCGCCGCGTGCTTGCCATCCCGCCGTGGGCTGCGCAGCCTGCCCGTCCGCGTCCAGCAGCGATGCCGACGAATTCCGAAGAATCTCGGTGCGCCGTAAGTGGGTGGCGGCAGCGTCGAGCTCGAAAACGAAAAAGCCGGTCCAGCCAGGCGCGGCGTGCGCGCGCTCTGGCCTGTCCAGCTTGGCGACAGATTGCGGCGCGCAGTCTCTGTGCACGCTCACTCACTCTCAGACCTCCGTTGGCGGCGTCATCGTGGCGAAAGACGCGGGCACAGGAAGCCAAGCGCCAGGACGTAGATCGACCACCTCCGTGGGGAACTTGAGGTCCTTCAAAAGGGTAAAGCACCCTGGAACGATCCAATAGCCCGGCCCCTGGCAAAGCAACGAACACGCCTGCTTCTCGACGCCCGTGAACTCAGCAAGGAGCGCGGCGAGTTGCGCCACGAAGCACAGGACAGATGCGTTGAAGATGCGGTACGCCTGCGCGGTGAGGAGGGGGCCGATGTCCAAAACACCACATATACGAGCACGGTCAAGGTATTTTGTAAACGGCGCGCACCATGATACGGTCCCACATCAAAGCCCGATGACCATTCCAAGGTACTTGGCCTTGCTGTCGACGGTCAAGCAGCCCCACCCTGGGACGAGGACGTCAGCCTGCTCGCGTAGCTCAGGCACCGGGAACCCACGCAATGGGACAAGAACCGTCTTCTTGATGCTGAGCATCAGACTTGAGATCTGAGCGTACTCGGACAAGAGGCCCGCCAAAGACAAGATGTGACCCATGAAACTTGGGAGCATCATGGCCAAATCATCCGCAAAACTCTAATGCACGCCCAGGGGCATAGCCAGCCCAGCCGTCCGAGCAAGAGATCGAACGCAGCGGCGAAGAGTAGAGGAGACAAAGGGCAGCCTTGTCGAATACCTTTGGAAATGACGAAGCCCGCGTACCGCGAGCCGCTGGTGACGATATGGCACCAGTTGTTATGATAGGGAACGCGGACGAAGCGAAGGAGCCGGTCAGGCCAGCCCTAAGAAGCGAATAGCATGTGCAACATGTCCTGCTCCACGGAAGGGAACGCGGCCGCGAAATCGAAGAAAAAGGCCGACGCGGAGTCATCCTCCAGGAGAGCCTCGGCCATGGCTTCGTCAATGTCTACCAGAGTAGCCAGCATAGATCGCCCAGTTATGAAAACGCGCTGAAACGGGGAGATACGAGAAGCGACCCAAGACTCTATGAGTAGGCGGACGGCCCTGGTCAAAATACGGTTGTCCGCGTTCGTGACGTTCAGCGGCCCGACGGACTCGCAATAAAGTAAGTCGTCCCATCTTCGGTGGTACCGGCGATTTTCTTGGAGAGAAAATGAAAAAGTCTGCCGTTGAAATCGTCAAATAACTCGGCCATGCGGTCCAAACCACCGTCGGAAGACATACCCAAGAATGCGTCATGCAAGACCGACACTGCCAAGACCTCGAAGCACCGCCAGGCAGAAAACGAAATGCCGTCAGGGCCTGGAGACGAGTCGTTGGTCAAGCGGAGCGCGCGCCTGATATGCAGTCGGCGCACTTTGAAATCCTCCTCAGGGAAAGGGAGCACATCTGCAGCAGAACGGTGAGCGACATCGTCCTGGATCCGAGTGTCCAGGAGGTCCGCGTCGATGCCTCGAGCTTTGCAGACATGGCCCCAATGCTCCCCGAGCTCCGCTGCCATGCGACCGTTGCCAGTGAGGATCTCCCCCCGCGGCGTTCATGATGGCGCTCACGGATCCGGAGCGCACGGATCCGGAGCGCCCTGGAGCCAACTTGAATGGTAATCCGCGCTGGACCCCCCTTTGCTGGACCCCCCTTGCGACGCCTCCGGCGCCGCCGCCCTCCCCCTCCCCCCCCCCCTGCGTGGCCGAGCCACGTGCTCGACAGGCCTCCTCCTCCTCCTCCTCCTCCTCCTCCTCCTCCACCTCCTCCTCCTCCTCCTCCTCCTCCTCCTCCTCCTCCCCCTCCTGCTCCTCCTCCTCCTGCTCCTCCTGCTCCTCCCTCCTCCTCCTCCTCCTTCTCCTCCTCCTCCTCCTCCTCCTCCTCCGCCTCCCCGCCTCCGCTCCGCCTCCGCCTCCGCCTCCTCCTCCTCCTCCTCCTCCTCCTCCTCCCCTCCTCTCCTCCTCCTCCTCCTCCTCCTCCTCCTCCTCCTCCTCCTCCTCCTCCTCCTCCTCCTCCCCCTCCCCCTCATGGGCCCCCGGGGCCCCCGCCGGGAGAGCCGCGGCCCCGAGCGTGCTCGGGCCCCGCGCCTGGCCGCGGGGGGGCGGCCCCCGTGGGGGGTGGGGCGGAGGCGCGCGGGGTTCCGGGAGCGGGCTGCCGCGGAGGGGGCGGGCCCTGCAGGCAGTCGGCCCGCACAGGAGGAGGCCCGCCCACGGGAGGCCTTCCACAGGAGGCCCTCCAAGAGAGGCCCTTTGGGCGTGGCTTAATGGGGGGGTCACAAATGGGGGGGTCAGAAAAGGTCCCCTTTCGTGCCCCTTTCGGGCCCCTCCGGAGCCCCAGGGGGCTCGTTTAGGTACCATTTGGGTACCTTTTCGGACCACACTCGCCGCCCCCCCATTTATAATCCCCCATTACGCAGCGCCCAAGCCCTCCGCGGGGGGGCAGCCCCGGGGGGTAGGGGGGGCTTCTGCGGGGGGGGGGGGAGGAGGCGCACGGGCTCCAGGAGCAGGCTGCCACGGAGGAGGCGGACCCTGCATGCAGCCAGGGGGCCACATGCGAACCCTAGCCCCACCCCCCACGATTTCTGAGGGGGAGGGTGGGGGTCAGAAATCGTGGGGGGTAGGGCTAGGGATCGCATGTGGCCCCCTACCTGCAGGCAGTCGGCCCGCACAGGAGGAGGCCCGTCCACGGGAGGCCTTCCACAGGAGACCCTCCACGAGAGGCCGTCCACACGAAGAACACCAGGGTACCCTCCCCGAGCCGACCTCGGTCTGACAACTCAGTCCGACTGTACGGCAAAAACGGGCACAACGCCCAACACCAAACGCCAGCCACGGAGTCCTCATCGTCAAAGATCTGGGCAGCTGGACCCCCGAAACGGGTACAGTGGAGGCCCGTCCACAAGAGACCTTCCACAAGAAACCCAACCCTGAGACCCCAGGACGTCCATGGATTGTTGGGTGTGGGAGCGTCACGATTTCCACGGCAAAACCATCGAAACCCAAGAAACCCAGGGCACCTTGGAGGCACGCAGGGTGTTTCTTGGCATCGGCCTCCACTGTATAATCAGGACGCACGATGAGGATGCAGGGGACTTGGAAAGCCATGTCGACACCCTGCGGGGGCGGGGCGCGGCAAGCGCCGAAGCGGCCAAGGATGGGGCGAGGGAGAGGGATGCCAAGGTGATCCTTGGAAAGTCGCTCAGGCTTCCTGTGCTGGTGAAGTGTAGGATTCACGAAGAGCGGCACCACCACCGCCACCAGCGCAGGGAGCCATGGTCGGGGGCACGCAAACATGGATTAGCGATACATGGATTTGGCGCGCGGTCGCCTAATCCATGGATCGGGGGAGGTGCCCTCCCACAATGCGGCCGGTGCCGCCTTCTTCTGCGGCGGAATACCGCGATTTCCGATGGAAACGGGACCCTTCGCTAATCCACGCCCCCTTGATCCGTGTTTTGCGATCGCCTGACACTGGCGGTGTTCAACCTTGAACGCCCGCGGCAGGGTTGCCGCCTGTCGACACGACGCGAACTTATCACATTTGCCTTCGGTGTGCTTCCCTGCCCCCTCCCCTCGTCGCCCCCCTGCGCGCGCGTGCTGGTAGGCAGGCAGGCGGTGCCGTGGCTGCTCTGTGCTCGGGCCGGGCTGGCGAGCTGTGGCAGAAAGAATTGCCGTCGACTGGTGCGGTAGGTTCGTGCGGCGTCGGCGCGCGCAAAGGTTTTTGGTACCGCGTCGATCGTTCAACCTTGAATCCATCGCGGCCCCGATCGCTCCAAGTTGCATTCAGTCGGGCCCAGTGGCGTTACCGTGTCCATCGGTGCTTCCGCGTCGCAGAATTCAGCCTTGAACCCCTTCTTCGCTGGCGCCGCCAACGCGCCAACGCCGCACGAACCTACCGTCGGGTCCCGTCTGGACCCAGCAGGCCCCCTGAGCAGTCCCTGCTGGCCTCAGCAGCCCCCCCGAACGGTCTGGGGCGATCTCAACACTTTTTTGATCCGCGGGTCGAGAGCGCACCTCTTCCGGTCGAAGCTAACCGGGCCGCGCGAAGCTTGAATTAGGTGGAGGGAGGGGAGGAGAAAGCGGCGGGGCCTCAGGGCGGGGCCGAGGGGAGGCAAAGCCCCAGAGACAGGCGGTGCCGCAGCCGCAGGTCTTACAAAGGAACGCCTTGTACGTGAGCGGTACGCATTGAGAACGAACCCGGTGGCGAAGTACCGGAGCCAGCAAAATGCTGGCGGGGCGATCTCAACACCCCAACCCTCGGGAGCGGCCAAGGTGGGGGTGTCCAAGAGGGGGGGTGGAAAGGCATTTGCGCGGCCCAGCGGGGGGGCCAGGGAGGCATTTACCACCCGAGCATCAAGAGCCGTCGACATCACGTCTTCGAGACCGTCAAGTCTTGCACTGGTGCCCTTCAGGTCGGGCCGTCCTCGTAGAACGTCTCCGCGGGCTCCCGGCCGCAGAGCTCCGCCGCGTGGTGGGAGGCGCCGTGCCCCATCGCCGCCGCGCCGCCCAGCGGAGGCGATGGGCCCCGGGCCCGCCCAGAGGAGGGAGGAGGACAGGATCAGGAGGAGGCGAAGACAAGGAAAAGGAGGAGGAAGAAGAAGAGGGTCATCGGGGGGAGGCAGGGAGGAGGAGGGAGGAGGAGGAAGGGAGGAAGCGAGGGAGGGAGGAGGAGGATGCGAGGGAGGGAGGGAGGGAGCAGGGAGGGATGATGGTGGTGAGGAGGAGGAGGAGGAGGAGGAGGCGGAGGAGGAGGAGGAGGGATGGAGAAGGGAGGAGGAAGGGATGGAGGAAGGGATGGAGGAAGGGCTGGAGAAGTGAGCGATGGAGGAGGAAAGAAGGAGGGAAGAGGGAGCAGGAAGGAAGGAGGAGGAGGAGGGAGCAGGAGGGAGGAACGAGGACGAGGAGGGCGAGGAGAAGGAGGAGGGCAGAAGGGCGGGGGTTCGAGCCCGAGGCCCTGCGAGCGCAGAGGCGGCCCAATAATGGCCTGGGGGGGCATCACCCCCTCGTCCTCCTCGACCTTCGTCACCTCCCTCCCTCCCGCCCCTACTTCCTCCACATCCTCCTCCTCCTCCTCCTCCTCCTCCTCCTCCTCCTCGTCCTCCTGTTCTTTCTCCTCCTGCTGCTCCTCCTCCATCTCCGCCTCCTGCTCCTCCTCCTGCTCCTCCTCCTCAACCTCCCCCTCCTCATGTGCCTCCTCCACCTCCTCCTCCTGCTCCTCCTCCTCCTCTTTTTCCTCCACCTCCTCATCTTCCTCCTCCTCCTCAACCTCCGCCTCTTCCTCCTGCCCCTTCTCCTCCTCTATTTCCTCATCCTTCTTCTCCTCCTCCATCTCCGCCTCCTCCTCCTCCTGCTCCTCCTGCTCCTCCTCTAGCTCCTCTCCCTGCTCCTCATGCTCCTTCTCCTCCGCCTCAAGCTCCTCCTCCTCCTCCACCTCATCCTCGTTCTCCCCCGCTTCTTCGTACTAGAATTCGTCTTAGTAGTATTATTATCGTTCATATTCATATTGTTGTGCTCCCTAGAGCTTATAATATCATTCGTATTGCCCGTCGTCCTAGTATTCCAGTTTATGACTCTTATACGTCTTATAATTACTATTGATATTCGTTTTACTATGAGTATTCCTATTAATAGTATTATTGATCGCATCCGTATTATGAGTATTGTTATTCATAGTAATAAGATTAACAGTAGCCGTACTTTATTCCATGAATCTAATTACGAGTATTAACAGTATGATTAACGTTACCAGTATTCCTCGTCCTTGTCCACCTCCTCGTCCCGTTCCTCCTTCCTCCTTCTCCTCCTCCTCCGACTCCGCCTCCTCCGCCTCCTCCTCCTCCTCCTCCGCCTCCTCTTCCTCAACATACTCACCCTCCTCCTCCTCCTCCTCCTCCTCATCCTCTTCCTCCTCCTCCTCCTCCTCCTCCTCCTCCTCCTCATGTTCCTCCTCATGTTCCTCCTCCCCTTCCTCCTCCTGATCATCATCATCATCATCATCATCATCATCATCATCATCATCATCATCATCATCATCATCATCATCATCATCATCATCATCATCATCATCATCATCATCATCATCATCATCATCAGCATCAGCATCAGCATC